CTTTTCTGCTATTACTTGAACAGCCTACAATAATACAGTGAACCATGACAAAAGTTGCTATACACCCGTGAAATGACGTGGTTCGATACGCTTTGTTTATATATATGCGACACCAACATGGCGGATAGCAACCGTCGTCAAGCAGTTAGTCACGTGAGTGAAAACCAAGAATATGCTATACTGATACTGATAAAAATAATTGAATCCGTACACATGAATATAAAGTATAAGCTAACTTCTAAAGATAATATATTTGTTCGCATTTGGTTTATCAATCAGGCGGGTTGACATGTGATGTTCAACTAACCACATACCATAATACTAATTAACAATCCATCTTGAATTATTTCCAGAACCTCAAGATTAAATTAAGTTTTAAAGAAAATTTATTGAATCATTAGAAAGTGTTCAACCTTTATCTTTAAAGAAAAAGATATTTCCTTTTTGTTTCCAGTGTTTCTGGTCGTTTCTTGACACCTTTTTTCACATTTTAACAAAACACTGATTAACATTCCATTTTGACTGAGTTAACTTCGAATTAACGGTCAGAACCTAAAGATTAATATTACAGAAAATGTATTGAATCATGAAAAAAAAAGTCCAAATTTCACTTTTTAAATCAATATATTTCTTTTTGTTTCTGGTCGTTTCTTGACACCTTTGATTATAAAAATAGATGTATTTGTTGCAATAGCTTCTGACTAGTCTTCAGCATAGTGCTTTCGGTTTTTACCCTGCATAATTACCCTCCAAAACCTCAATATATTATTGGAATATGAAAATGATTAATTAAGTAAAAAATGTACGAGTAAATTGGCAACCAGGCGCTTAAAAGAGTGACAAGAAGCGCTTGTCTCTCAACGACAAAAGTTCATTTTACGTAATTATACTCGCTGGAAAAGCTAAATAAATGGTTGATATTTTGTGCGTGTAGTGTGCGATTCATTTTCAACTTTCATTTAACTTTATAACAAACTAAGCTTATCTGTATGGAAATATCGAAAAAGCTCAGTTTTTTATTATTCACTGATCCGAGGCGATCAAATGTGTTTTTTCTAGAAAGTAAAAACATAAAAACAGTCTGAATTCTTGAAGATTACTTTGTGATCCATCTTTGACACATAAAAAATACTGTTGTTCTTTGGCTTTAAATTTGTCTCAAGCCGACGTTTTCTGTACCTTTGAGTGTTTTCCTTTTGAAAAACCCGCGGGAATCCCTCGATGTAGATTTGCAGTAAGTGTGCGCGCTAAACAATAGTAGGCACCATCCTTAAAACCTCGCGAAATTATTTTGTTCCTCGATATTATGCATTTTTTTCCAGTCCAGTCCGTTATCCAAAGAATCCTGCGACGTCGTGATTGGCTGCGCTAGAGTATGGCTATTATTATTATCTCTTATCGTTGTCCAGTATTCTTGGATAACGGATTGCTAAATAACGAAAACATTTCCAGAACAATTAAACAAAATAAAAGGGGGAAATCAAAGTTATTTACTGTCCACTGAAAAGTCGGTCCTGAAAGGGATAGACTGTGCCCTGTAAACGAACTCCATATTCGATCTGGTAATAACTTATATTGCTTTGGAGTCTGAAAAGGTCGAATGAAATCCATTCAATAATTATTTATAATGAGATTTCAGTTATTTCTTGTATATACATTCACCATGGTTTCAATACAAAGCGATGGTTGCTTCTTGTTATTGTTGCTATAGCCGACCGTTTTGGYTTGTTTGTGTACAAAAATTATTACCGTTTTGAGAAGGAATTAAAGTGGGAATATTGTTAGCAAGCTGATGTAATGCGACCTTTGTTACAAAAAAACATTATGCCGTGTCTTAGTAGTTAGAACAGGAGCCGGCTCATTACTTTGAATAACCAATCATAAATAGATTCTAGCGATTTTATTAAGTCAAAAAAAAAAAAAAATTCATCAAAACAAATTTGCGTTAATCACATGGTTTATTAACGTTCACTTTTATTAAATTAATGATAAATAACAATGTTGCCATGACAATTTGTCATCAAATTACATCTATCTTTAATCACCTGGAATTTTAACCATTATAGTTTGGAAAATTTAATTTTGGATCTGTAAGATAGTAGTTTCTCATTGGTCACTTTGACGTCAAAATTTGACGTCAAATAATCGGTCACTGAAATTCTTTGATATCAAAATTAATGCATTTTTTTTACCAACAGAGTTGCAGATTAATACCTAACTTACATTGTTCAAAACCTCGCGTACTTTTACCGCGTCCAATATGAATCCAATCTACAAGAAATGTCTTTTTCGAATGTTTTTATTCTTTGGTTACGGATTAATTGGAAGCTGGTTATTCAACTTGATAGAAGAGAGAGAAGAAGCCTACGCTGACATTGCTAACAGGTATGGTAAACAATTTCCGTCTGTATTTCACATAATAAACAAGCGTTATGGATAATATTTTCCTCGCCTTTCCTTTTCTTCTCTTCTTTATATTGCGGTGAACGCATTCTAAATATTCTCTGAATTTTTTTAAAAAATAATCTGAAACAAGCTGATTCATGGCATAGTTGAAACTTGCTAGAAGGTTTTTACCAATACGTTTATTTTCACCCAATGATATAATGCCAATGAAAATAAAAATAAATTACAATTCGATCTGTAGCTATGGCCTGGCCTAAGACTGGGCTCAAACTGGTTTTAGCCTAGGGTTCGATCTGTTGCCAAGTCCTTACTTTGGTCAGCTCAGAGCTTTACTTTATTGGGGTTTCGAATTTTGAAGTGGCAATGCCTTGACAAGGCCCAGCGTGTCATTCTATGCGCGAGGAGGATAGGTACAGTGCCTTGACATAGATCAGCTCAGAGGTTGTTTCAGGGTTCAATCTGAGAGTTAGCCATGCTCTGACTTAGATCAGCTAAGAGGTTGTTTCAGGGTTGTGAGTTAGCCGTGCCTTGACTTAGATCAGCTCAGAGGTTGTTTCAGGGTTCAATCTGAGAGTTAGCCTAACCCAGACTTAGACCAGCCGAAAGGTTGTTTCAGGGTTCAATCTGTGAGTTAGCCATGCTTTGACTTAGATCAGCCAAAGGGTTGTTTCTTTATACCGCGTTTGAGAATATCTAGAAAATAATCATTTTTCATTATTTTTTTACTCATGAGGTGTGAAAATGTAAGGAAAATCCCCAACTTTAAATGCATACGTGAAAAGGCTATCTAAATAGACTTTTTCAGCTCAATTCTCAGTTTTTTTTGTTTTTGTTTTTCTTTTTTCAAACCTTTTAAACCAGCCTTGTTGGCAGAACGATATGTTTTTAAAAGCCTTATATTCAAGTGCTTTGGGATGGGTCTATATGTATGAGAAATAATAAAGAGAGAAATAACTTTCGACATCGGTACGCGTGCTTAACTTTGTCGAACAAAGGATAAAATTAACACCAAATAGGTTCCGGTTGTAGGGCCGAGTCTGTAAAAGTTTTATAAGTGATGCAAGCAACCGCCAAATTCCAAATTGTCCAGGCGGTCTCCAAAGCACCCAGGTATATTTACAGTCCATGCCAAACACATGAACGAAAGAAGCCGACATATCAATTACATACGGACTTTCAATTGCAATATAGATGTGAATTAGATCTCAGTTGAGTCAAACAATATTCACTTTGTTTATAGTTTTCATATCAGATATTTATGAATAAATTTCAGTTATATTCCATAGATTAAAATGCATCTGTAAAACCTATTCACTTTATTAAGACGGCTAAATGAGTTTCCACTACCTAAGCCAAAATCGAATTAAAAATTGTTGGGCAGCTCGTCAGTTTGCATTAGAGCACAAATGGAAATTTATTTAAAATTGAAATGAAATGAAATTGCATTTATGCGAATTCTCTCGAATATATCAACTTGATTAAATGACAATGAGACTCATCAAAGTAAAAATTGAAGAGCCGCCTTGTCGAATGGTGTATAATGGATTGGACTGACTGAATTGAGCTGACTGAAAGTCCCCCTAGAGGCAATATATCTCCCGCTTTCCCCATTGTATAAAAAATATAATAATATTTAAATTGAAAAGAAAATTGTGAAGAGATGTCTAGCCGCAATGCTTTAGTTGTAGCATGAAAGAAAAAGCAAATATCGCGTAAATAAATAACTACGAAAACTGTCAACGAAAATCTGTCCGTATAACCACGAGAAAGTAGAATTGTTGGAATATGCTTTGTTTTTGTTGTTGTTTTTTATCCAACTTTACCACCCTGACGTTGATCGAATTAACATTGGGAAGTTGATTTTTTTGGAGCGAAAGCGGAAGAACCCGGAGAAAAAACCCCGTAGCACAAGAGCTAGATAACCAACAAACAGCTGTACACACAAACAACACCGACCTCGGTGGGGCTCGAACAAGCGCGCGGGTCGCATTGGTGAAAGGCGAGCGAGATTACCGCTGAAGCTAAGTTTGAATCCTGTTGGGCTTTGTGTCATATGCGAGCAAATTTGTTTGTTGATTCTCTCCAGCCTGAGGGTTATTTATTAATCTATTTAAGATCTTGTTTTGTCTCAACTTAATATAAACAAAATTTGTGTCAGGTTGCTGGATGAGTTGAAAGAAGAGATGAAAAACAAATACAAGATGACCAACTCTACAGATTTCGACAAATTTGTGGAGAAAGCAAATAAAGCAAGTCAGTTGATGAGCAAAATGGACTGGACGTTCTTGAATGGATGTGGATTTACATTTGCCGCTATCACTACTATTGGTACATTGATTAATTACTTAATCTTTTTTAAATACTGTTTAATAAACAAGCAGGAGTGTTTTCTCGGGTCTAAAACCACGAGGCGTAGCCGAGAACACGATACGTCGCAAACGCGGACTTTTATACACACACTTTGATAGTCTTATGCACATCAATGTCATGCCCAGTGAGGTTTGTATGTCACTGCCTTTCTCATTGAATCCAAATGAAGGCTCCGACTAGTTAAAGGCAAAATGCCAAAATGCTCTTGAGTGTGGGTAGTCGACGACACTTTGTGGGTCTTCCATGATCGTACGTGAAACTGACCTCGATGAGGTTCTATTTCCTCATCTAAACTTGGATGCATCTTGATCTTTGAAAAAATCGTGCTTATTAGTATTCTTTATATAAAGAGCAAAATAATAACAAATTGATTTATTGACAAATTGAATTCTTTATATAAAGGATACTAATAAGGATGAGAACTTTATATAACATTTTTAAAATATTTTTCGTATAATTTCAATTCGTAATTCAGATGAAGAACAACCCGCTGAAACCAAGAAAACATGAGCAAACTCTTTGCAACATTTGAAAAAGTAATGATAAAAGGGTAAATTATACACCGTGAAAAGATGAAAAAACTTACTGACTTTTTTACTCCGACGAAGGACTATAGCGTCCGAAACGTCAGTAAGTTTTTTCATCTTTTCGCGGTGTATAATTTACCCTTTTATCATTACTGTTTCATTAGAAAAACCGACGCAGCTCACACTAGGTTTTAGCTAGTTATCTCTTCTTAACATTTGAAAAAGACAACCGATATAGTGGCATCGTGCACCTTGAAAAATCGCCAAAGGTTGCTTACTGATGGGCAGCCAAGCCTAGGTTATTTTTAAAGCTTCTGTTATGGATTTATTATTATTTTGTTCATCTTTTCACAGGGTATGGTGACATTTCTCCACGAACACCTCTTGGCCAGGGACTTTCCATACCATTCTGCCTTGTTGGTATAACAATAACGATGCTCGCTTTCAAAACAGCAGGAGAAGTCGTACTCATAGGACTCAAAACGATAACAGTTTTATTTGAAAAGAAGATTCTTCGACGGGAATACGCCAAACGTAAACTTTTGAAATGTCTCTTTGTTATTATCTTCTGGATGACTTTTTTGATTTGTCTCCTAGCAATGGCCGAAACATATATCGATGGCTGGACCTTCTTGGAAGGTTTTTACTGTTGGTTCATTACTTTTACGACGATAGGATTCGGTGACTACATACCCTTTAGAGATTACCGACTTGAAAAGAAGGGCGAGTCAAAATGGATTCTAGTAGCAACAGGATTGGTATTCACGATTCCCTTTGTGACTGGGCTTTGCCTGGTATCTAGTTTCTTAAACTTGCTTGTTGACAGCTCCGATAAAATCAAGGTGCATTTTCACAAAGTCACCTCCTTTGCCGTGTGTAGTAGCAATTGCAGCAACACAAATGAAGCCAGTCTTAGCTCAAAAGAAGTTTCTAGTAATGACATTAATTTAAAGCCTATTAGTTGTAGGAGGTGCAGTGTTTAGAAAAAAAGTGTGTTTTTTTATGTATATTTAAAATGATGTTGGCACAAGTTTCGAACGTACCTTTTCCAGGAAGAAGAGCGTTTAAATAGACATCGGAAACAATATATTTTATTCTATAAAAAAATTTCACTCCGAGAAAAGACGAAAAAACTTACTGACGTTTCGGACGCTAGTCCTTCGTCGGAGTAAAAGAGAAAAAGGTGGTAGAAAGGAGTGTCTGTATACTAAGAAGGCTGGTCTTTACATGGGATCTTGTCCTGTTGACCATGCCCTCAACTAGATATATATAAATATGTTGTAAAGTTATTAAATAAATAAAAAAATGAAAATAAAAAAGAACAAGACAAAAGAAACCAATGTATTGCTCTCAGTATATAAACACTAAAATAAACACATAAAGTAATATATAAACACATAAAATTAGTTTGAAATGCTGATTAAAGACCTGATTAACGATTTGCGACGCACCTGCTATCGAACTCCATAATGATGGTTCATTTGTCAAAGAAGAAATAACTAGCTAAAAATTAGTGTGAGCTGCGTCGGTGTTTCTAATGAAACAATAATGATAAAAAGGTAAATTATACACCGTGAAAAGACGAAAAAACTTACTGGCGTTTCGGACGCTAGTCCTTCGTCTTCTTTGTCAAAGTAAGTAAATAATCGATCTTGTTTATGGACCCAAACCAGCCGAGGTTTGTGGACAAAATAAATTTCATTCAGACCAAATCTGTAAACGTTTAAGGTCTTCCTATAGTAAAAGCTTATCATTATTATCTATTATTATTATGCAACACACTCCATTTCCCTTTTATTACGACCATTTTTCGAGCGCAATTACAGAGTGATTATACACGGTCTGTGAACCGGTTTTGAACGGGTTTTTTCGCTGATGATATATGTCAGCGCGAGAAAATTTTCTTCTATTCCTTTGTGTGGCTCACGTCAGTGTTTTGAGTTCGATACTTTTCTAATTTACAATAAAAATGGTTGTTTTAGGGTTTCTTTTTCAAATTTTCCGTTCCATACAATAAACAATTTATAGAGGTTGTTACACTACTTGTTATGTATTACATCTGGATAATTTTACTCTTGAAGCTGTATTTTCGCCGCTTTCACTCGCAAAATTATCTAACTGAAATACACAACTAACAGAGTGTAATAACCTCTATAGATTAACGCGTAACTACCAAAATTTGAGAAATCATCACAAAGCGTGTCCATATGTTAGCTTGGATTAGCTTGCGCCTTTTGTCAGTGACTCGATGTTTTTACCACTGTTTTCATTGATGCGCGCTGATTGATTCAAAAGAAAGGTCCCTTTTTGTACTATTGCTGCGTTTGGGTAAAATACTTCAGTCTCGAGTTCTCTGTTGCTCAGGGTTGGCCTCAATTTTGTATAAAATTAATTTGTTCCTGTGAATATCCGTGAAATGTTTAAGTCCGTTTGTATTATTTAAGTTGCGTATCATTTATTTTATCGTTTGTATTTATGAGTATTTAGGCACTGAAATGAGAGAACACTGAGTAAGTGAGTCTGTAATCAAGGCAGGACCTTTCATTTCTGTGAAGATCCGTGAACTGTTTAGTTGATTTTTATTTTTTAAGTTGCGCATTATTTACTTTATCGTTTGTATTTATGAATATTTAGACACTGAAATGAGGGTACCCTGAGTAAATGAGTCTCTAATCAGCCTTTCATTTCTGTGAAGATCCGTGAAGTGTTTTAGTCGGTTTCTATTATTTAAGTTGCGCATTATTTACTCTATCGTTTGTATTTATGAATATTTAGACACTGAAATGAGGGTACCCTGAGTAAATGAGTCTCTAATCAGCCTTTCATTTCTGTGAAGATCCGTGAAGTGTTTTAGTCGGTTTCTATTATTTAAGTTGCGCATTATTTACTCTATCGTTTGAATTTATGAATATGTTTAAGTGAAATGTTTAAGTCGGTTTTTATTATTTAAGTTGAACATTCTTTACTTTGTCGTAAAGGTTTTTGTAGGTTGCATTCATATTATGAAACTAAAGTTGACTCATCAACCTTTAAATAATTTTATATTTTCCTTAGCTTTCGACCGACACGGTCATCCTCAGAGGAACTAAAATACGTTACATTATTAACAAAAACTACGCGATCAAACGTCGTACATATGCGGGAGCAAAAGAATCGCGCACACAGACCCGAAAGCACGAGCACATGAAAATCACAAAAGATTTATGTAATTTGCTGGCAGAATTCTGCCACTGTCTCTACTCTTTACTTTATCCATTGTATTTATGAATATTTAGACACTGAAATAAGGGTACCCTGAGTAAATGAGCCTGTAGTCAAGGCAGGACCTTTCATTTTGTCAGCTTTATTCATAGCAAGAATATCGAAACATTTTAGCCGTTAAAACACTAAAACCAAGTAAATCTATCTGATAATGGAGATCAACGAGAATTAAAACATTTATGATGAAAAACGCACATTTGAGCTTGCAAAATCTTTAACAACAATAGATAAAGACGTGATCGACATATATTATAATAAATTTGAAAAATCACCTTTTTATGTTCTTTGCAGGTTGCTATTTTCACGTCAATTAAAGCAATTAGAAAAAAAAGCCTAATTATTGGTCAGACCGATTAGGTCCCCGTCCACACTATGCCGCATAAATTTGAATTCGAATTTTTATTTATTCGGTTAGGCCTACGGCGTCCACACTAGTCCGGACGAATCCGCAACAATACTTCAGCGAAAACGAATTTTCGAAATGGAACCGAATAAATAAAAATTCGGATTCCAATTTATCCGGCATAGTGTGGACGGGGCCTAAGGCAAGTTGACTTTGCTTGAGGCATAAGTTGACGAATTACTTATAATTATCCAGTCGATCAAGTGATACTATTATAAAGTTGTTTTCGATTTATCGGCCCGTATCAGGAGTGCGATATTCTTAATCATTAAATATGAAGCCCATCTACAAAAAGTGTTTTTTAAGAATGCTTTTGTTTCTAGTTTACGGATTTCTTGGAGCCTGGTTGTTTAGTTTGATAGAAGAAAGAGACGAACCCTACGCTGTCACTTCTAACAGGTAAGACACTCTACAAACCTTCAAAGTTCTTTTATAACATCAATGATAACCTAAAGAAATACAAAAACACAGTATGGCCATTGATATTAAAACGGACAAAACTGAATTCACACTAGAAGTCGAACACTTTTGAAATCTTTTTGGTACGAAATATCATCAGTAATAATTATTGATGTAGAGTGCAAACCATCCATAAAACAGAACAAAACTGAATAGCACTAAACAAATCTCTATCTTTTGTTTTCCATCGTCGTTTCATTGGTGCTATTTTGTACTAATATTTAGTACTATTTCAAAGATATATCATTAATTGGTTAGCAGAATCTCGGCTTTTTGTCATATACAGTACTTCTTACATACACATCGTTTTTATATATTTTTTATTATTTTAATCCATTGCGGTATTTATTATTATTATTATTATTAATAATAATAATAATATTATTATTATTATTATTATTATTTATTTTTTATTTCTATTTTTATATTTTCATATTTTTTTGTAGAAAAAGAACTCAAGATAGATAATATTCAGAATTCAATATTCAGAACATTAAAAAAACGTTTAGGCAATCAAGCAAATATTGACCGAAGTTCCCTGAATTTTCAGCAAACATAGTTAATAATTAAATGGAAGCTTAGAGCCGCTATTATTTAAAGATAAAACAAAAACAAATTGTAGAAACGATCGTTAATTTTCCTTTATTGATAGCTATATCTTAACATAGCGTAAAAAAGGTTGGGAATTTGGGCGACGTTAGTTCTTCCTTACTTTAGTAAAAATTGTAAGCACTAGCCATTAGTAATTCATATTAGACTTTTAGACACGAAAATTGATTCCAGTTGTTATCGAACGCATAGAAACACAAGCGCTGAAGTCAATAAGAGTTCATTTAGTTTGAATATTACCTTATGTCATTTGACCAATGGAAAAGAACCTTTCATTAAGGGAATTTAAATTTTAATAACAAAAGTAAATGTGATCGAGTAGTTATTTAGACGATTGGAACTAAGACGGTCGATAGCCATAGAACTGTTCAAAGGGTCATTTTTTTTCTCCCTCACAAAGATATGTTAGAAACGTAGGAGGAAAAAATTATTGAATTTTCCGTGGTTTTTACTTTTTTATTGAATGTCACACCAGTGTTTAACTAATTGCCATCAATTATTGAAGCTGTTTTTTGGTACTTAAATTCTCTGCCGACTTTGGCGATAGCCTGAATTACCATTTTGCTCCTCTTCTCAGTCGCGATAATCTAAACAGACTTTTGGTTTTGAAAAACAAAATGACCACAACACCATGTGAACAGAAAAAATTACGCCGGAAATGTCACCTTGAAATTTGGAAGCAATTTGTCCTCTATAGGTTTTAACGTAATTATTGATTTTTATCCCGTTTTTGTTATAACCTACGCACACTTTTTACGTCATCGCACACTTGGTGGATAGCGTTTAGATAAGCACCGCTAAAAAGTCTAAAACGTTTTTTAAACATGTTTTTAGGCTCTTGAGCAATTTGAGGAAAGAGATGAAGAATAAATACAACCTGACCAACTCGACCGACTTTGATAAATTTGTAGCGATAGTGTCTGAAGCGAGCCAGCTAAAGAAAAAAATGGACTGGACGGTTCTCAATGGATGTGAATTCACCTATACAGCTATAACTACTGTTGGTAAGAATAATAAAATACCACTTGTGGCAAAGTTTTTTTTATCATTTAATCATATCTATTTAAATGAGAAATTCAGTGACGATAAAAAACAATATTTTAAAAACATTTTAATAAAAAACGACGTTTCGACGTTTACGTAACGTCATTATCAAGTCAATAAGAATAAGAAAATACACACTATACATATAAATCATGAAACAATGAAAGCTAATTACGAAAAGAAGATATACACCTAGTTCCAAGAACGTTTTCATACGGAAATAGAACATCAGTGATTTAGTGGGATAGGAATTAT